ATTGAACTACAGACCTTGTGATTGCAACCTGGGAGCACTACCACTGTACTATTGATCCACAGATCTTCATATTTTGATTCTTATTTGAGAATGAAAGTAATTATAGATATAAATACTCAATACTTCTTTATATTTTTATAAAGTAGCTTTAATTTTTTAACAGATATAACTACAATTTAGATCAATTAATGAAACAATTGTAATCTTGTTTTTCTTTTTTGCTTCATATTTAAAGAACTTTTTTTTTTATAGTAAGTATAAGTTTTTTTCTTTTTTTACTTGTATAAGAATTAAGATAAAGTTTCTTATTTTTTTTTGTTGATTTTTTTTATATATTGTAGAGCATCTTTTACTTCTTCAAAGTTAAAGGTTGTTCATATATTATTATTAAGAAAGTTTTTTTTAAATAGTTATATATCTTGAATAAACTTAGAATATCTTGAAGGTAGACTATTTATTCTTTTTCTATATCTCCTAATATTTTGAAAGTAAGAATTTCTACTTTGTATTTTCTTTTTTCTATAATATAAAATGAATTTAGACCAGATAATCTAGATCTATTTCTTGTATTGTAGAAGGTTTGCTTAATTATATTTTCTTTTTTAAATTTTTTCTAAATATTTTTTATTTTAATTCATCTTTCAGTTTTTTGTTTCCTATTTTGACTTAATATTATTTAGAATTTCAATCATAATTGTTTTGATTGAATTTTCATATCTTCATTTGAAATAGTGTTTTTTTTTAAGTTAGATTTTCTATTAATAGAATTGTGAACTTAGTTTATGGATTTTAAAAGTATAAAAAAAGAAAAAGTAATTTGAAAAAGAATTTTGCTCAAGAATTTATTTGAATTTTTTTTTCAAGAAAGGGTCAGGAAGTTTTCTTTTTTTGATCTTGAATTTATAAATATAAAATAAGTTACCTAAAAACTATAGCTTTAATAAATATAATTGGATCTACATTTTGAATTTTTGCTAGAATACTATCTAGTATTAAGTATTCTATTGATCCTGATATTTGATTAAATATGTTTTGTATAATAAGAGTATTAAAAATAATTTGAGTAGACCATATTTCTCTTTTCTAATCATATTTATCAACTATTTTGATTATTGTTTGAGGATATAAAATTTTCTTTTTATTGTAATTTATATAATTTTTTATTTTTTTATTATTTTGATTACATATAAGTAATAATGAGTCCCTAAAATATTTAGCATATAAAATTTTATAGAATACTTATATTCCTTTTTGAGAGACAAAATTTATAGCTCTTTACTTTAATAAGGACAAAAGTTAAAAAATACTATAAATCAATGATTTGAATAATGAAGAACAATTGTGAGTAGTTTTTAAATAGTTATTGATTTAAAAATTTTAAAGTTTCCTAGTGAGTGACATTTAACTTTTGTTCTTGTCTCTTCCTTTAGGGACCTATATTTACATATAAGAAAGAATAAATTATTGATTTGATAATTTGTTATTTATTTATTTTTATTTGTTTATATTTTTACAAGATTTGAAAAATTAACTATTTTATTATTTTGATTAATCTTATTTATTTAAAAGAGGTATTGATTTTTTCTGTTAAATTCTATTTGTTTATTGAAATTGTTATTAACCTTTCTTGTTATAATAAATTAATTCATTTTATTTGTAAACTTTTAATAAATCTTGTTATTTTATTTTATTGTTATAAAAATTGATATATATCTATTTGTATAATTTGTTTTGATATTTAGTAAGATGTATATAAAATTGAAATATTCTATTGTTTAATTCTTAAAAAAAATTTTTTTTTTTTTTAAGTATCCATAGCCAAGCTAGATTGTCAGTTTATTAATAAATTGAAAATATAAGTACATTTTCATTTGAGTAGCATAATACATACTACAGCTAAACTATTATTTTAATCTAACTAACTCGTCATAAGCATAAAAGTCTCTAAGTTCAACCTTGGGAACAATATTTCATTTTCAGTATCTTTGAGTAAAAACTCTCCTAGTTTACTATATCATATTTAGCAAGTTGTCTCTACTATATATTGTACCAAACCACTGGAATATAGAAAACTACAAAAGGATGGATTGAAAAAAGGGGAAGGGGATATCTAAAAATATCTAAGTAAACAACAAGAAAATGAAAAAGTAAAATTGAAAAAAATATTTCTAGTTTTTTCCAAAGACTTGCTTCTCAAAACCTTTTCTTAATAAAAAATATTCAATTGGAATATCCTTTCTTTTTTTGACCATCTAAGGAACTTATCTATTTTTGATCTTGATTTTCTTTTTGTATATCGTCTGAAAAGACTTATTACCTAGTGGAAGCCTTTACTTTCAAAATATACTTGGTCCCAACCTTCTTTGAACAGTGATTTTTTATTTATCTATAATAGAGAGGTGACTTATAATAGATTATAGGTTTTTATGTAATCTAGTAGAGACTGGATTACAGTATGTTGTTTCAGTATGATACCTTCCAGTAATTATATCTAATTAAAGAAATTTTACTGATATATATTTTTCATTACTCAAAATACCAGATTTCCAATAATCCTTTTACCATGTAATGGTAAAAGGGTCTCAAAAATAATAAAAATTCTTGTTGATTATAATATTCTTCAACAACTTTTGGAGAAATGTATTTTTAACTATAATTAAAGAGTTGAAGCATAGTATAGACTAGAGACCATTTGATTTTATTGCTTGATCAGGATAAAAAGAAAACCTTGATATTAAACTTTGTCTGACTAGGATGATAAAAGAGAAAGATCTTAACTTGAATAAATAATAGCTTTTTTATCATTTGAGGACTGTCACTTATATATTATTGATCTCATGGAACTTGATCTATAGGTTAATTCAATTGAAGGAGTGAAGAGAACATGGGACATTAATAAAAATAGGTCCTTAAAGGAGAAAATAAGGACAAAAGTCAAGTGTCTCTCATTAGGAAACATTAAAAATTTTAAATTAATAATTATAAAAAAACTATTTACAATTATTCTCTATTATTCAAATCATTAATTTATAACATTTCCTGACTTTTGTCCCTATTAAAGTGAAGAGCTATGAATTTTGTTTCTCAAAAAGGGACATAAGTGATCTGCAAAATTTTATATGCTAAATACTTTAGAACCCATCATTAAGTATCAATTAATTCTTTCAATCACCAATAATATTATCGAAACACGTGATGTGACTAATAAAAGCTTATTTACATTCAATTACTAACATGTTTCATATCAACCAATCAAATGCCAGGTAATATTATACTACTAAAAATTCAGAGTCAAACTGAGATAGATAAAATTTTTCAAGAAAACCATAGACACTTTAAGAGGATACAAGACAGTATGTAAGAAAATGGATAATAAGTCTTCTTTTATCAATAAAACCTCTATTTCTTATCACTTCTAGCTTTATAAGGTGATACTTTACTTGTCAATTCTTTTACTTTCTAGAATCTTTTTGTCCTTAGTAGAGGAAGTGCATACTTGAGTCTTTTTAAGTCATTAAAAGCTTAAGTTTTTATTCAAATAAGTTTATAAACAAGTAAAGGAAGGTAGAAAAGATACATGAAGACAAGTTTCAAGTTGCTTTAATGAAAATGTAAAGACTTTATTAGCAAAAAAGTATAAAACTTCTTATAAACATATTTTTTGTGTGTGATCAGAAAATCAGCAGAAAGAGTTTTTTTATTCTTAAGAATCTTTGATATCCTTGTGAATTTTATAATTTTAAGTTTTTCCTAATTTATTAATAGAAACTATTGTTTATAAATTCTTTTTAATATTTAAAAAAATATAAATGGATATTGATCTAATTAAAAACTTGAGAAGTTGATATTGGGCTCTTTTAAACTTATTGTAAATTAACTTATTGATATGTTTTTTTCTTCTTGTAAAAATAAAATTAACTAAAGTATTGTATTGTCTAATATTTCTTTTAAGTAACAAAGAAGTTTCTTGATATCTACCAGAATATTGTAATTTATTGATTAATCTTTTTCTTTGAAATAATAAAGTATTTTTAACTGGCTTCTCTTTTTCAAAGAAATTACCAAAAAAGGAAATTTTTAAGAAAAAAGGGATCAGCGAAGAGTTTTTTTTTTTGTTCTTTTGAAGAATTGATAATTTATCAATTTGATTATATAAACAATATGAATAATTTAAAAATCAAGAATTTCGATTACATAATATAACATTTAATTTGTTAATTTATCCCCATATTTGGCACACAGTTTGATCAGGCATGTAGATTATCTAGGTTCGATCTTTATTCGAAGAAAAGAAGTGAAACGATGCTTCCTAAAGCCCATGTCAATTTTCGAAGTATTGGAAATTTAACTTCCCATACTATCGAAAGCGCTCTTCTTCAAGTTCGTCGAATATCGTCGGGCCTTCAACAAATTCAAAAACATAGGGACAAGGCAAAGGAAAGGATCGCCGAGATAGACAGGCAGCGTCCTTTCGGAAATTTTCTGAAAGACCGATTTGACAGACAACATAATTACCTGAGGATATCATTGACCGAAAAGTGCAATCTGAGATGTAAGTCATTTTATCGTGAATGAACGCTGCCAGAATATCTCCTTAGTGCCATTATCAACTCAACGTATTTAGGTACGTACTGCATGCCGGCCGAAGGAGTCAACCTAACCCCCTCACATGAACTTTTATCTTTTGAGGAAATAATGCGAATTGCAAGGCTGTTTGTGTCCCAAGGTGTCAACAAAATCCGATTGACCGGTGGTGAACCTACCGTGAGGAGTGACATTATTGATCTAGTTGGTAATATGATTGTTGCAACTTGTTATTTTTAATTATCTAAAGGATTAACAGGAATAATGATGATAATAGGAGAATTGGGAAAACTGAAGTCTCAAGGCCTTCACACCTTAGCCATCACTTCTAATGGCATCGCTCTAAAACGAAAATTGCCAAGGCTTGTCGAGAATGGCTTAAATGCATTGAATATTAGTCTGGATACTTTGGATCCTCTTAAATTTGAGTTAATTACTCGTCGTAAAGGTATTTATGCGATATATGCGTTATAATTCTTATTTTTTACTGATTCTCGGATTTCTAATTTGATTACATATTCTAAAGGATTTGAACGCGTAATGGAATCCATTGAGCAAGCCATCTCTCTTGGTATTAAACCGGTTAAAGTTAATTGCGTGGTGATGAGAGGAATGAACGATCAGGAAGTATTAGACTTCATAGACTTGACACGTACCAAGTCGATCGATGTGAGATTTATAGAGTATATGCCTTTTGATGGTATTTTTTTTTTTTCCTAAAATTATGCTAGTTTTACAAGCCAACAATTTTAAGATAAGTCGTATTAACTCGGGGTGTTGGTGTATGCCGCTTACATAATCAGGTAATAAGTGGAACAAAAAGAAGTTGGTTCCATACCGAGAACTTTTAGACAAAATTCATGACAAGTATAATGATGTTAGAAAACTTCAAGATGACGCGAGCGACACTTCAAAGGTTGATTCCATCTTTTTTTCTTCCTTACGAGCCTTAACAAATATATTCTTACTTTCATCTTGATTAATATAAACAGGCTTATCATATACCAGGATTTTTGGGTCAATTTGGATTTATCACATCAATGTCCGACCATTTTTGCGGGACATGTAATCGACTCAGAATTACTGCCGACGGAAATTTGAAGGTTTGATCCAAGGACATTATTTAATCAGCAGAGAACATAATAAGGTTAATCTTATGAATTTCGACAGGTATGCTTATTTGGTAACGCCGAGATTAATTTGCGTGACCTGATGCGAAAAGACACACCCGATCAACAGTTACTGGACATAATTGGATCAGCAGTTAAAAACAAAAAGAAACAGCACGCAGGTATGTTTACACTTGCAGAAACCAAAAATAGGCCAATGATTCTTATCGGTGGGTAATTGGAACGAAACGGATCGAAACGAAGCGAAACATGAAGAATCCAAAATTTTTTTGTCCCAATATAATGCATTCAAAGTGACGATTCGAATGAGTTGCAGGTTGTATTTTTGTGTCATGAATGCTTTACCGTTTTGTAAGCAATTTCATTAACTCTTGAATCTTTTCGCTAGTAAATTGATGTTGACTATTTATTTCACATTACATTGCCGATGAAGCAGACTTCGCTAGAAATATTAAGACGCTGGTTAGATCTGCGGAGAAATCTTTTCCCTTCACCATCACCTCTTCGAGGGCTCAAACGTACAATATACCCATTATCTCTAATCAATCATCTACGCACACTCATGCTTCTTATTCCACCAAATCCGCCGTTTCTGACACCTTTTCATCAACCGATACCAACCCTTCGGCTTTCTCTCATGTCGACTCTTCAACCGGACATGCATCAATGGTGAATGTTTCGGAGAAACCTTCGACCACGCGTACAGCAATAGCACGTGGAAAAATTAGAATCGGTCGCGAATCATTTAAGCTTGTCCTCGCCAATTCATTGAAGAAGGGTGATGTGCTAACCGTCTCTCGGATCGCCGGTATCAACGCTGCTAAACACACGGGACATCTAATCCCCCTTTGTCATCCTTTACTGCTTTCTCACATATCAGTTGATCTGAGGATGGAAGAACGAGATTATTCGATTGAAATAACAGCAAAGGTTCAATGCGAAGGTAAAACCGGTGTTGAGATGGAGGCACTCACGGCGGTTAGCGTGTCGGCATTAACGATCTTTGACATGTGCAAATCCGTTGATAAGAACATGGTAATTGAGAACTTGAGGGTAATTCATAAAAGCGGTGGTAAGAGTGGCGAGTGGAATTTCTCTGAAGAATAGATTGATTAAAACCTTGCAATGATTGCGTATTAATCTCGTATGATGTGAGCGTAAAATGATAATAATAATGGTAAATAAATGCAGTTTTCGTCAACAATAGTCATTACCAAGAAAAAAAAAGGTCAATAGGTTATTTATTTTAGGGTTAAAGTGCTTTGAGGCAAGCCAAGAAGTTAATCGTCTAACCAATCTATGTATAATAATAAATACGAATGTATCCACATTAAAGATTAGAAATACAATATATATATATATGTACTAAATGCAACAGGTGCGAACAGAGTCATCAAATTGAAGTTTTTTTTTTTTTTAAATGACGTTTTCCTTTTTTGCCGATTGATTATATATTCCTTTTTTTTTTAAAAAAAAAAAAAAAAAAATTAAAATAAAAATAAAGAATTTTTTTTTTTTTTTGTGAAAATTTGCGTGACAAGTTGAACTGAAACCAAATAAACGAATTGATATCAAACGACAACAGATAACCTGAAACAATTGCCGTTTCGATATGTAATTTTTTTTAGTTCTATCATTTTGTCATCGCAATTAAGTAACGTAAAAGGGTAATGTAAAATACAAAAACTAATCCAGAGTTTCCGACTATGACTACTTGCTAAATAACTCCCATTATTCTCCTTCTTAAACAATACACTTGGTGCAAAAAGATGACTCGAAAGAAGATATTTAAAGCGTACAATTAGGAGTTTGTTGGTGCACCTCCATCCGGAGGTCCATTAAGTACTTCATCCAAGCTACGATGCCGAGATAATTCGGACAATACGGATTCATCTACTGGTATAATGGATTTGCGACGGAACATATTGAAACCATCAGGTCGTCCATCAAAAGGTTGCTAAGAAAAGAAAAGAAAAAAAAAAATGTATGAGTAAAAATCCTTTTAAAATCGCATTCAAACAGAACTGAGAAACGCACAAGTTCTCCGTGGTCATCATTCTCTTGCGCCTCTTCTTCATTTTGCACTTCTTCTTCCGCTGAATCCTCCTCTCCGCTCGATGGATTCTCATCAACAAAGTCTTCAGAATCAAATGTATTATAGGTAGTGGCATCTAAAGCAAATCTTGATTCTTAGCATTTACTAAACCGTGGACGAACGATACCACGTAAATGATGACTTACCGAGGACGTTTGTTCTCGACAAATTCGAGGTGACTCCGATATTGTAATGCAATGGAGCTCCCTGAGCATTGTGAGCAGCAGTTCTTTCTAACCTGTGCCACGTCTCTTCTCGTTCTTTCATCTTTTTCTTTTCTCTAATATTTGTTATGTAATTGAATCAAAAATTGTTTCTTTTCGAGGAATGTGATTTTACAAACTGCATACGTACAGTTGACGACTTTGCTTATATTGTGCCGTGCATTCATCAAATAGTGCTGGATTGATCTCCATAAATAACTTTAACGCGTTATATACCAAACCATGAATCGTTCTGAATTTTTGATCATTGAGATAAAATTCGTCAACTTAATTTAATCAATAAGTCGTGCAACGTTAAAAGATTTTCCAGCTGCATAGACGCAAAATATACTCATATAATTACCGGTTCCAGTGAGTCTTTGAATTTTGATATAATGTTGGAAACATTACTGGTAAAATGACGTTTACGTTGTCACCTATCAAATTAACAATGTACTCATTATTCCAATAAAATAAAGCCCTCTCCGCAACCTTTTCAGAGATTGGACGATAGCGTTGGATGAAATTCGATGTCAATGATCTTGCATTTTTCGAGTAATTGAGAAGAAACGTGATGACGAAAAGAGCTTTCATACCTGAAAGTGTGGACTCGACACACATTTAGCAACTTGTTGGAATAAAGGTACCTGAATTTTCACAAATTCTTGTGATTCTATGACATCCAATATTTCTTCAATTTCACTCAAAAACATTACTTCCTTTTGGCTGTTTACTTTAGGCCAATATCTTAACAAACCGCAAATGACCTGCAAATACAGATCAATGAGTACATGACCACCACGATTGGATTAAGAGAACTCTATGTATTCTTCCTACCTCTTCTGTTAATGAAGGGTCCTTTTCCAAAAATTGCACCACGCAATAGGCAAGTTGCGGATGATATAATGTCAACGACTTCACTTTATGTAGAGGTATCAACACTTTCGTGAGGAATGTCTTGTGTTCTTCTTTTAGTGGCAACGCAAAACCATTGATGATGCTGGAAGGTTATGTAGAATTGTCGAACGGATTATTTAACAAATTTTAAATAAATGCAAATTAGGAATTTTATATTCTGATATTCTGATAGAATACCTTCCGAGAATTTCCAGCAATTCTGCAATACCATTGTGACGTTCAGTTTCATATATGAATTGGAAGAATACATTATTAATTGATCTTCGGATAAATGCGCGAAGGTTTAAGAATTTCCCGTAAATTCGATGCAAGGTGGTTTTCAAGAAGTCACGTTCCCTGGGGTCTTCACTATCAAATAATTCCAGCAACTAAGGAATTGTGATAAGGTGCAAATCCATTATTAATATTAATTTTTGACATGACTTCCTAGAATGGTAATAGTAATGGAGATGATTGATAGTTTCGGTAATTTACGTACTTGCAATATAAACTGCAGGTCAATGTATTTCTTTGCGATATTTGTGTTGAAATCGGGAGACTCGATGAATCGAAGGAAAAATTCATAAACGATTTGCAGATGTGGCCACGCGAGTTCGAGAACTGGTTCATCCTCCTCGGGATCAAATGCATCTCCGATAGGATTGACTTGTGGTGGTATGGTTCTAAAAAGATTGATAGCGAACTAACCAATCATGTGAAGGTTCATTTTCCCGGAAATTATTATCTACCAAATCAAAGCAGAAATATACCAAAGAAATTCAATTACTAACCATTGAAACTACTTCAGGATATATTGGCTCGGTAATAACTCCCCGATTTGTGGTTATGTAGTCCAAGAGTTCAGTGAGTGTTGACCTCTTGATCTCTTTTCCTTTAAGGTCAGCACTCGCATCATTGAAATCGAAAATTACTGAACATTGATGGAGTTTCCTCAAAAAAAGATCTTGTCTTTTGTCAGGTGAAACTTCTATAAAATTATAATAGTAATCCAAAGAGCATTTAGTGTTCTAAAGTGATCCCCACATAAATACAGCGCAAACTGACGCTAACCATTAAAATTCGGCAATTTTTCTAATTCGACTTTCTCCGTAACGTGGAACCTCGAAGATCTCTGACGCCTTGGCCCCTTACTTAGGGGAATAGAGTCCTTCGGAGTCCCCTTTATTAAGCGATTCAAAGGGTCCCTCTTTGGGGGTTCCTCTTTTGAATGAGACTTATGGTTACTCGCGGGTGAAGGGGGTGCTGTGGAATTCTCGGAGGCATGTCCCCTCTAAAGCATAAGGCATGCGTTAAATATATATACATACATATATATATATATATGTTTTGAAGAAAGATGCAATGATAATCTTAGCAAGTTTTGAATGCAAATAGACAACACCTTGTGAAACAAGAACGTTTACCCAACCTGGTCCCCAGCATTCACAACCACGATTGTGGGAGTCGAGTCTGCGTTCTTTCCTGAAGACTTCGGACTACTTCCTGTTTTCCCATTACTATTACTACTACTACTGCTACTACTACTACTTGATTCTCCCGATTTTCGTAGCTATGTGGACAGATGGAAGAGAACGGTGAGGAAACCAGCGAGACTGCAAAAAAAAATGAAAATGTGTCAATATGGACTTACGACTTTTCTTTTGAGTATGTTATTCATTTGTCTGGTAGATTTACAACTTAACCAATTTTTATTAAGAGAGCTATTTTTTTTTTTTTATTAACGCATGTATTACAACATTTAGCAGAAGTTATAGTAAAGTCTACCAACAGTATATTATAATTCCCGCCTTCAATGCTGCTTGATAATTGTAGGCACGATTCCCTTACCTTTTGCAGATCATTTCCAAAAGAAACCGGTCATATGCACAGGTCGAGTATCTATACTGCGCCACGTTCGTGATCGCCTGTTATAATGTTGAATTCACTTCAGTAGAACACCGATTGGTTCATTTAAAATTAGAATCAATGCTTTCTCTTTCCCTGCTTTATTTACTGCGGAAAAAAGGTTACATTGTTTCTACTCTTCCTCTCCATTATTGGATACACGCACTGCAATAATTGTAACTGCATTTATATCGTCTTTTTCTGTGCAATAGGTACCACGTGAAGTTACGAATCCAATGACCAATGAAATTATCTAAAATTGGTAAACACATGCACATACTGTATATACTTCTCTTAATATGCCGATTATTAACGTTAATGTTAAAAAAATTCCGTCACCTATGGTAGGGGCATGTATCCACCGAGCGCATAATCATCTTGGTTGATACTGTATAATCAATCATTCATTCTCTTTCCCCTTTAACGCGGATGAACTTGTCGGAAAGAATCCTCGAATGGGTTGGACCCTAGTTAATGAACTATGAAAATGGATTGATTGATTAATTGGAAAAATATCTGACTCCTCAGATAATGGGGGGATCTAATAGTTTACTAATTTTGTATAACTTTCATAAAATTGAAAGTTAAATCGAGGGCATAATACAATCTTCATTTTAAGTTAATATTAATTTACTTTTATGGCGTTATTTATTCGAAGTATGTACATTGGGATGAACTAAAGTTTTGCACCCGATAACCAAATATTTAATAATGTATCTAATATTCATTCTACATAAAAACAGACAATAATTAATTGACGCACTTAAATTATAAATCATGTGAAAAGATTCTAATGTCGATTCTTAATTTCATCTTTGTTTTTTTTTTTTTTTTTTATCTGCAGTCAGGTTAACATGGCTTGCCTTTATTATATAAATTTATATAAAAAATTTTTTTATTTATAAATAATTACTAACATATACTGTATATATAATGTATATACAATATAATAATTAAAATAATTTAAATAATTTAAATTAATAAAATTTTTTTTTTAAAAATTTTTTCGACAGATTAATTATATTTACTTTATTAATATTTTGTAAATTATATATATGGTAATCCACAAAAGTCTTGTATTACCTATCAATTTTTTGTTAATTCATTTTATTGTAATAAAAAATACATTAATTATAAAAATAATAATATTTTTTTTCATAACCTGCAATTATGTCACAATGGCATATCTTTATTGAGATATTGAAAGATATCATAATGTTTACAGACTTTCACAAAGTGACTAACTTGGTATTGTATATTATTAGTTAAAGGACTACACTACTTAAAAAATATAAGGAATTCACTAAACTAATTTGGACTAAACAAAACTAAGTCTAAATTAGGTACTCTAAGTCAAATTTAGAAAACAATATTGTATCCTCCTAGTAGCTTAACATGGAGCCTTTAAGTTAACTAGGGTCATTATCAATAGTTTATTATTGTTGATTATTCTAAAAAATGATGAATTGCTAAAGTTAATACTAGGAAAAAAGAAAAAAGAGAATTACAATTCAAAGCTCTTCAAAAGATTTTTGTTCCATTTCATCGATTTCTCTCGAAAAGGATTTGCCTGATAGGAATATTCTCTAGGTTTCATAATATTTAAAGAACTTAATTATTCCTGAAAGTGATTTCAAGAAGAATATTTAAAAAACTTATCTTTTGGCTAATGTACAGATTCACTTAATACTATTGGAGTTAATATCATATTACAGAAGAGTTTACCTAATCAAGATAAAAAAATCTTTTTAAGAACTTTACCTAATCAAAATAGAAACTTGTAGACCTCAGCTTTTGTCCAAGTAAGTTTTTTCATCACTTGAGAAACTTAATGAGAAATGTGAGTTGAATCTTCTATTTCAATCTGTTACTAAAAATAGGTTTTGTCTTTAAAGAGGGAAACAAAGACAAAAGTAAAATGTTCCTCACTAAAAAAAATTAAAATTTTTAAATTAATAACTATAAAAAAACTACTCACAATTATTTTTTATTATCCAAATTATTGATTTTTAGCATTTCCTAACTTTTGTCCCTATTAAAGTAAAGA